CTGGAGTCAAGAGACCTGACTTCTCAGCTGTTCCACTTAACTATAAGATTTTTGACAAGTCATTTGGATTCTCTGGGTCTCAGTTTCTCTGTAAAGCAGGGAGATTATAGTCAGATGATCTCTAAATACCCTTATAGCTCAAAATCCTATAAGGAAAATAGAAAGGTGAAAAATAAGTGCTAACTATGAGATATGGGGGTGGGGCAGTTGCCAGCCAGAGGAATTGGGGAAGCTTTCATGGGGTTTGAGGTCAGTCTGTGGTTCCTTTATGGTTATTCTGTGATTAATAGATTGGCAGAAAAATGGGATTAGGAGGGTGGTAGAGGCAAGGCCCAAAATTCTCCTTACCTCCAAATACCTCAAATTCCCTGGGAGTCACTTAGAATAAGTGGATTGCTATGCTGATGGGTGAGTTGAGCTCTAGTTAGCTAAGCAGCATGGCCCTGAGTGACACCTCGCTCTTTCTAGATCATAGCAAATCACAGACCATTATATAAATCAGGTTAGGTATCGGGGAGGTAACGCCCTCATTATTATCAATTAACATCTCCTGAATGCTCCTTGCAAGAGACAGAAGGTCCATCTCCCAGGGAGCAGTTGAACCAAATCAGCAATCACTTATTAAGCACTCACAGATGTCAGTAAAAACTCTTCCCTGGAGGACAGAACTCAGGGCAAGGGAGGAAATTGTGGAGATAGGGGTTTTCATGATCTGAAGAAAACTTGGCAATAATGAGAGCTTTCTGAAATGGAAAGGGCTGCATTGGGAAATAGTGAGTTCTTCATCAATAAAAATCTCTGAGGGAGTAATAGATGACCACTTGTTCAGGATACTGTGAAAGGTATTATCCTGAGTGGGTTAGGTTGTCATGAAAGTTCTTTCCAGCTCTCAGATTCTAGGATACTAAGGTATCTCTCTGAAAGGTATGTCGTTATGACTGTGATCTGTTTTTAAATGGGCTGTTAATAGTTGGTATCTGGATTCCATGTGATGGCCATGATCATTGCCTCAGTGTTTCAGTCCTTCCACTCCAAGGCCAAAGGGGAAGAGAAACTGAGGAATGAGGCCATCTTTTGGGAAAACCTTTATGAACTTCAGTCTCCTTACTTGAAAAATAAGCGGCTTGTATGGCTGTGTGGCACAGTAAAAGGAGCATTGGGCCTAGGGACAAAAAGATCTGAGTTCAAATCCAGCTTCAGACATTTACTAGCTGTGTGAACCTGGGCAAGTCACAACTGCAGTCTGCCTCAGTTTCTTTATCTGTAAAACAGATAATATTACCCACAGGATTGCAAAATGGGATGTTTGTAAAGTGCTTCACAAACCTTAAAGTTTAATATAAATGCTAGCTATTATTATTATTCTAGATCTAACTTTTAAAATGAATTTTACATATTCTTACTCATGTATGTGTTCTTTCACCTAATAGTATAAGCTCCTTGAGGTCATGTACACTCTCACTTTATTTTTGACTCTAGGTTCCATGTAATAAATCTCCCTTACAGCTCTAACTTTTTCTATTTTAAGGATCCTTCCAGCTTTGACTTTCTATGCTCTAAGAATCTTTTCCTGGCTATTTTCTAATGTGGCCTTGAGTTCTGACATTCCGTTTTGTCTTGTCATATTTGGTGATCTTTTTCTTAAGCCAATTATTGTTGCATCTGAAGGTTATCTTAAGCCGAGTCTGATCTTGTAGACCTGTTGGAAGTTTGGGCAGTAGACAACATGTTGAATTTTTAAAGGTGTGAATGTCTGGGGGTAGAGCTCATAGAGATGTAGCTTCACTAGGGATGAAGGCCAAAGTAAAGAAGTAAGCTGAACCTCAGGCTTACAGAGGTGGGTGTCAATAACTAGGCTATTTGACTAGGATTTGGTCCTCTTCAAGGTCACTGGGTTAACCCGAAGGCCTATGGAGAAGGAGGGAGGCCCAGTGCCAAACATGGCCCCTCTCCTTCTCTATAGGCCTTTGGCCCAAGTTGAATAGGAAAGAGAGTACAATATGGTAAAGTGGAAAGAACATTGGGTTAGAAACCAGAGTTGTTGGAGTCAGAGTGACTGAGTCCAAATTCCAGCTTATGTAGCCTTAGGCAAGACACTTGACCTTGCTAGTCCTCTATTTCCTTATTTTTAAAATGAGGGGTTGGAATAGATGATCCTGTAGTGCCTTCCAGCTAGAAACCCATTATCTCATGATCCTTTAATATAACCTCGTTGAAAAACTTTCACTTTTTTTTAATTTTTGGATCCCTAGAACCTAGTAAGTATTCAATTGATATCTGTTCAATTGAACTGAAATTAACTGAACTGGATTGAACATAAACAAAGACATCAATTCATTCAAGAAAACATTGATTGGGAGTTCGGGGGATGGGCAAGACAAACCAGGTGTGTAGTGAGTAGCCCAGCCCACTTAACATGAAGGGGAATAGTGGAGGTAGTAGGAACGGTGGGACACAATCAGATTGCTAAGACCTTGAATTGTCAAGACTAAGGAGTTTGAACCTTACTTGGCAGAACAGTAAGTGACCTTTTGAAAGTTTTGACACAGGAGAGACACATGGTCAGACCTGTGCATTAGGAAGGTGTTTTTTGGTAGCTGTGTGCAGATTTGATAGGGGAGAAACTGGAAAGAGGGAGAAGAGATAGGAAGCTGTTACAGTAGTTTATGTGAAAGGTAAAGAGGTCTTAAACTGGGGTGGTGCAAAGGTAAGCTGCATAGGACTTAGTAGATTGGACGGGGTAGAGTTGAGACAGAAGGAAGAGTCCAAGGTGACTTAGAGGTTTTCAGCCAGGGATGCTGGTAGCATCTTAAGTGGAAAGGAAGGAGCATGTCATGCATGGAACAGTAAGAACATGGACCTAGCAAAGCAGAAGGTGTGCATTTCATGAAGTGATAAGAAATAGGGTTGGATAGATAGGATGGAGTTGGGTTATGGAAGTCTTTGAAACCCAAAGAAATTTGGGTTTGAAACCCTAAGAAAGAGAGAAATTTTAAAGATTTTTGTGTAGGCAGAAAACAGTCCCTCAAATATGACCATTTTCTAGTGCAAGAGTGGGGAGCCTGCAGCCTCAAGGCCGCATGTGGCCCTCTAGGTCCTCAAGTGCAGCCCTTTGACCGAATCCAAACTTCACAGAACAAATCCTCTTAATAAAAAGATTTGTTCTGTAAAACTTGAACTCAGTCAAAGAGCCACACCCAAGGACCTAGAGGGCCACATGTGGCCTCCAGGCTGCAGGTTCCCCACCCCTGTTCTAGTGGTTGAGATTTCAGAAGATTTACATTCAAGGTAAGGAAAAACTTCCTCATAATCAGAGTTGTCCAAAAAGTGAATGAGCTCCCCATCACTTGTGATCTTCAGAATCTGTAAGACAATTTCTCAGGTATCATAACTTTGAGAGCTAGAAGGAACTAGCTCTATGAAGGCACACTTATTTTAAAGATGAGGAAATGGAAACCTAGAGAAAGTTGACTTGCCCAAGGTCATACACATTATAAATAAGCTACAGAAGTGAGACTTGAAGCTGACATTCTTAACTCTAGATTGAATGTTCATGGCACAGTGGATAGAGTCAGGAAGACTCATCTTCTTGAGTTCAAATTTGGCCTCAGACACTTACTAGCTGCATGACCGTGGGCAAGTCACTTAACCCTCTTTTCCTCAGTTTCCTTTACGTACAAAATGATCCAGAGAAGGAAATGGCAAACCACTCCAGTATCTTTGCCCAGAAAACCCCAAATGGGGTCAGGAAGAGTAGGACACAACTGGAAAAATGACTGAACAGCTACTACGCCATCTTCAAGTCTGGGTTGGATTAGAAACCTCTGAGTTATCTTCCAAGTGTGAGATTTTGAGACTTTCTAAGACTATAAAGCAGCCTTCTCTAGAGACTGTTTCAGAGACCTAGAGTCTCATGTCCTCTCCCATTTTTTTGGACCATCTGAGGCCTGGGATACACTGTAAATACAGTGCAAGTGTTTATTTACTCTTGGTAGAATGCTTCTATTCAGCTTTCTATTTCTTTCCCTCACTGTTTTATCTCTTTCCACCCCAGAAAAGGGGGGCGGGATGTTTGTAAAGCAGGTTTAAACAGCTTCTTTCACATCAAATAGCTCTTGGTAAATAGCTCTGCAATGTGTGAAGTTTTGAGGCATCTGAAAGACAAGAACTGGGTCACCCTCCCCTTGCAGGTGGATTTAACTTCACCAAAACATATAGCTTGGCCCACATTGAGCAGGCTTCTGTCTAACTCAAATTACCTCAAAGGCAGCTTTGAACTGAGTCCAAAAGAGCTTCAGCTGCTACTAATAACAATTGTCACTGTACCTAATGGGGGAGGTGTGGTTGAAAAACAACTTCTGTGAAAAAGATCTGGGGGTTTTAGTGGACCACAAATTCAATGGCTGCCATAAAATCTTACCTGATCTTAGGTTGAATTAAGAATGATATCATCAGTGTGAGGGAGGAGATGCTGGCATGATGGAAAGAACATTGACTTTGGATTCCGAAGGCCTGGATTCAAATTCCATCTCTAATGCCTATTTCATATATACATATACATATACATATACATATACATATACATATACATATACATATACATATACATATACATATACACATATGTATGTGTGTATATATATTATATATATATATCATATTATCATATATATATATATATATTATATATCATATATTATATATTATATATTATATATAACCTTGGGCAAATCATGCAACCAGGGGCTTCAGTTTCCTCATCCACAAAAGAAGAAAATGGGCTACATGGCCTTTGAGGTCCCTTCCAACTCTAAATTAATGCTCTTCTGCCCTCCTCAGACCACGTGTTTATGCCCAGTTCTAGGCATCAATTTATAGAAGGGAGATTTATAAGCTAGAGCACGTCCAGAGCTACATGGCCAAGATGGGGAGAGGAATAGAGATAATGCCAAATGAGGACTAGCCAAAGGAGCTAGGGATATTTAATGGATGATAATACTTTATTGAGGTGGGGGATGATCATTGTTTTCAAATATTTGAAGGCTTGTCACTTAAGAGGAGAGAGCAGACTTAGTCCCAGAGAACAGAATCAGAAGCAATGGGTAGGAGTCACAGAGAAGCAAATTGAAGGTTAATATAAGGAAAATTGTCTTGTATTTAGAGCTGCCCTATCACTGGAGGTCTCCCGGTAGAAGGTGGATGATCACTCATCACGGATATTGTAGAGGTGATACTTGGGGAAGGGTTGGTCTGAGATTCTGTAATGAAAACATAGAGACAAAAATCATTGAAATGGAGGGCTAGACCTTTGGATGCAATGGCCAACTAGGGTTTTTGCTCTCAACCCACAAAAATAAGTCCATCATTTCTTCTACCACATCATACTAATCTCGTTCCTTCAGCCAGCTAGAAGGTAAGGCAGAAGGGTGTTTTCATCTTTACCATCAGTTTGTTTATACAGATTTTTGTTTTTCAGTCATTTTCAGTTGTGTCTGACCCTTTGTGACCCCAATTGGTGTTTTCTTGGCAAACATACTGGAGTGGTTTGCCATTTCCTTCTCCTGCTCATTTTACAGATGAGGAAACTGAGGCAGACAGGGTTGAATGACTTGCCCAAGGTCACAGAACTAGTGTCTGAGGCCAGATTTGAATTCAGGAGGATGAGTTTTCCTAACTCCAGGCCCAGCACTCTATCCACTTTGCTACCTAGCTGCCCCTTATACAAATTAGACTGCACTTCAGGAAGAGTTGCATTATCCTCTTTTTATAGATAAGGAAACTGAGACTCAGAGAAATGAAGCAGCATCCCCAGAGTCACATAGCTAGTAGGCGCCAGAGCTGGGATTCAAATCTAAGTTTTCCCATTCAATTCTTTCCACTATTCTGCAATTTGTGTTGATTGTTGCTGTAGAAAGAAACCCAAGTGTTTATCCTGCCATTAAGTGGTCATTCAAACACTAGAATTTCTAAAACCAGAAAGAATCTTAGAGATTGGTGCCAGTGTGGTACAGGGGGTAAATAAGTGGGTCAAAGCCAGGGCATTTTGCTTTGAGTCGCCACTCTACTGCTTCCACTTCTCTGGGCCTCAGTTTCCCCATCTGTTACATGAGGAAGTCAGACTAGATGAGATCTAAGGTCCCTTCCATTTCAGAATCTAGAAGCTTACATTCTTACAACTCTCTCATGTGACAGATGAGGAAACTCATGGTAAGAAAGACTAAGTGGCTTGGGTGGATTGTGCATCTCGTGGACCTTCACAGCTGCTATTTGAATCCACATGTTGCACCTCCAAGGTCAGTATAGGTTTCTGCTCCCACCCCACTGCCTCTCCTCCATTGCAGCTCCGCTGGGTCCGAACCCTAAGGTAGCCGGTCACTCTCCTTACCGTGTCCAGGTTATCCCGGCAGGAGCAGGGCTCTCCTGGCTATTCCTAGAGCGCTGAACACTTCCCTTCCCAGCCCTAATCATCAGTGCATTCTCCCTCCAGAAATTACTTTGCATTTACGCCGCTAGTTGAATATAAGCTTCTTGACGACAGAGACCATTTCTTTTTTGCCTCTGGACTCCCAGTGCCTAACATTATAGCAGCAACAACAAATACTTGGGGAATTTGTTGATGACTTAGAGTCAGGAAAGTCCCGGGGTTCTAATCCTGCCTCGAGTACTTATTAGTTATATAATTATGGGCAAGTTGCTTAACTTTTCTGAGCCTCGGTTTCCTCATCTGTAAAACAAAGATAATAATACCTGTAGTACTCATAAAGTTTTGCTGAGGGGCGAATGAGATAGTGTATATAAATCACTTTGCAAACCTTGAAGCATTATAAAAATACCAGCTATTATTAATATAGCCCTTTAAGGCTTGCAAAGCCGCAGCCCTATGAGGCAGTTAATGCAGGTATTATCATCCCTATTTCTTAAATAAGAAATTGAGGCTTATCCTGGTTAAGAGGCAACAGGTGACATTAGACTTGGAGTCAGGAAGACCTGAGTTCAAATACATGCTTACTAGATACTTACTAGTTGTGTGACCCTGGGTAAGTCACTAAATTTCTATTTGCCTCAGTTTCCTCAACTGTAAAATGGAGATAACAATAGCACCTACTCTCAGGGTTATTGAGAGGATCAAATAAGATGTTCATAAAGTGTTTAGCATAGAGCTTAGCACATAGTACATAATAAATAAATCATAGGTGGTTAATAAATACTTGTTTGTTGATGGATTACCTGATGTCTCACAGCTAATGAGAGGCAAAACTTGGATTAGAACCCAAGTACTCTGACCCCAAGTTCGATGCTCTTCCCATTTTCCCATCTGTGTGTCCCAGCTGCAAAAGTCTCCCTGCCCTACTTCTCTTATTAGATTTGTGTGCCTCTCTTGGGGGGGGGAGGGGAGGCAGAGCTGTGACTGGAGTAAGGAATTTCTGGTGTGGAAATTCCCTCTACCAATGCAAACTAACATCTCTCCCAGGAAGATTTGAATTCAAATCCAACCTCAGATACTTACTAGCTGTGTGACCCTGGACAAGTCACTTCACTGTTTGCCTCCATTTCCTCATCTGTAAAATGAACTTGGAGAAGGAAATGGCAAACCACTCCAATATCTTTGCCAAGAAAACCCCAAATAGGGTTACAAAGAGTCAGACACAGCTAAAATTACCGAATAGCAACATAACCTAGAGTCTTACAGAGTTGCTTGGGATGCTGGATGTTAAACCACATGCCCATGGCCAGACAGCTAGTATATGTAAGAGGTTCGACTTGAACTCAGATCTCCTTCCTCCCACTAGGACTAATACTGTCTGTATCAGATCTCTGGGTTTCCTGGCCCATGCCCTGGAGAAGATAATCCAGTCAACTTTGAAACTCCTGCCTTGGAGCTGAGTTGTCTTGATTTCTCTAAGTGCAAACTTAAGTTAATCTACTACATCTAGCTGGTCTCCAGACCATTGAGCTGTGCAGTTGTTTTCCCAGAATGCATTTCCTCCCTGTTTTCTAAGGACCTAGGACCTTTCCCCCTGACTTGCAGATGAAACTTTCCATCTGGGTTGTCTCCCTGCTTAAAATGGAAGCTCCTTGTGAGTAGCAATTTTCTTACCTGAATTCAAATTCCTACTCTGCATCTTGCTACCTGTGTGACCTTGGCCAGGTCACATTCCTTCTTTGGGCCTCATTTTCCTCATCTGTAAAATAAGACAGTTGAACTAGATAGTTTCTGAGGTCCCTCCCAACAGTAGGTTGATGATCCTATAATCAGCATAAGGACTCGCCCCATCAATAGGGGTTATAACCTCTCTGTGCCTTAATAGATAGTTGTATGAATTGCTGTGGCTGAGCATTTCAGAATGGATCCAAACTTGTCCTAGGATGAAAGTTCATTATCAGTCCCACACTCAAAGCCTTTCCAGCTTGGTAAGACCTTCCAGAGATTTGTCACAGCCTTGTCATGAGGAGGCCAATGCCTTGGGAACCTTGGGGAAACTGGGAATCTCCTAATGCTTATTATAATGAATATTGATGACCAGGGAGTGTTTACCCATTCTGTTAGGCTGAGAAGGCTTTGCTATGAAACCAATGACAGACCATGTATTCTTCATCATCCAAAGACCATCTTGGCTAACTGTGGACAGGTTTATCAGCAGGGGATTGTCACCAAGTGGTGATGTTTTTTTTTTATATTTTTGACCATGAAAACTTTTGAAGAAGATCTACTAAGGATTTGTGATATGGCTGGTGGAGAGAGACACCCCACCCCACACTGAGGTCATTTTGAAGAAATACTAGGTATAAGGTTCTGTGTTTGATGATGGGGACCCAACACCATATAAAGGATAGCTCTTCCACTTGAGGAGCTCATAATCTAGATGACATGTCTAGATCAGTACCTACCATTCTCCTCCCCAACCATCTATTTACCACATTACCACAGCAGACTCTCCAACAGTAATCATACCATTCCTGGAAAGGATGTGTGTCTATCAATTGCCCTGTGACTCTATTGACCATTTTTGTGTCTTCTCTAACCAAAATTTCTTTCTCTTATCATCCTTTAGCTAAATACATCATCTCTCTCTATTAGCATGTATGGTCCTTGAGAGCAGGAACTGTTTCATTTTTGATTTTTTTGTATCCCCTAGCACTCAGCACAGGGCCTGCCACATGCTAAACACTTAATACATGCGTTATTATTCATTAATTCATTCATATGGGTTTGTTTTGACCTTTCATTTTCCATACCTAGAATACTTCTCTTTCCCTTTTTTCTTCCTTAACCTCATTTAGATACCATACTATCCTTCAAGGCACTTCTCCTATGTGTAGTCCAACATGGCTACTCAGGCTCTCCCTTTCCCCAACTCCCATCACTTAAAGTCCAATCCACAAGGTTCAGCAGTTAATCACGTAATGATACATAGCTATCAAATAGTTTTATTGTACAATTTAGTCTCACTGACTAGAGTTCTATAGAGAGAGAATGTGGACCAGGTTGCCAATCAACCCAAGTTCTAGTCTCAGCTTTAACATTTAATAGTTGTATAATTTTGAGGAAGTCATTCCCCCTTCCCCCTTTGGGTGTATGGTTTCCACATCTGTGAAATGAGGGAGTTTGACTAGGTGACCTCTAGGGTCCCTTCCAATTCTGACATGCGGTGCCCTGTTAGAAGGCCCTTTTCATCTCTAAGTCCCTGTATGGCTATGGGGCCTGGCATAACACTGGGCAGAATAGAAACTTAATAAATGCTTTTTCAAAGTGCTCTAGTGGGGCAGCTAGGTGGCACAGTAGATAGAGCACTGGCCCTGAAGTCAGGAGGACCTGAGTTCAAATCCGGCCTCAAACCAAACACTTGACCTTGCTAGCTGTGTGACACTGGGCAAGTCACTTAACCCCAGTTGCCTTAAAAAAGAAAAGAAAGTGCTCTAGCATACTTTTCTGGGGTCCTGTGGTTCAATCAAGAGTTGGTATCATTATAATTCTAAGCTCAACTTGAGCTAATGTTCAGAAAAAACAAAATCTTGATCCAGCAAAGCACTATTTCTCAACTGATACATAAATTTGTGACACTTTGAGGTTGATAATTTACTTGCAAATTCATCCTTTGTGTTTCATAATATCCTGGGTTTCCCCATGCTCTATTGCCAGTTTTTGACCAGGGGGTGGAGGATGGAAGGTGGAGGTACAGGAACTGCTGAGGACAAGAAGTGTAGATAGTAGGACCAGCAAATGATTGAGTGGGATCCCATCAAGATCTGTAGATGTGCCCCAGGTACTGATCTAGACATGTCATCTAGATTGTGAGCTCCTCAAGTGGAAGAGCTAGACTTTACATGGTATTGGGTCCCCAGTGTCAAGCACAGAACCTTATACTAGTATTTCTTCAAAATGACCTCGGTGTGGGGTGGGGAGTCTCCCTCCACCAATCATATCACAAATCCTTAGTAGATCTTCTTTAAAAGTTTCCATGGTCAAAAATAGAAAAAACATCACTTGGTGACAATCCCCTGCTGATAAACCTGTCCACTATTAGCAATGATGGTCTTTGGATGATGAAGAATACATGGTCTGTCATTAGTTTCATAGCAAAACCTTCTCAGCCTAATAGAAACTCTTAAGTAGGTATTTTTGCAAGTAGTTTCAGCATAACATTCATATTTCCTAATTCCCCTCTTCAGACTCTTTCAGAAGGCAGAGTCTAGGAAAAACCATTCAGCACAGGATTATTTTCCTACAATGTTATTATAAGATCGATTAGGGCAGGGACTATAGCCATCATCTTTGTACTTTTCTTATTGCTGAGCTCAGAGCTGTGCATATGGATTAATATCTAGGATCATTGATATCTTCAAGCAGAGACTAAATGGCTACTTGTCAGGAAGTGACAGAAGGACTCATGTCTCAGGTTAAGGGCGTACTAAATGACTTCTAAGGTGCCTTCAGATTCTGAGGTTCTATGATGCTATGAGGAGGGGAAACACAGAGACCAAGACCGGCCAAAACTCTGCCTCTTCTCAGGTTTCATGAAGATGAAACCAACAATAAGGGTTTGGGGTGAGAAGGAGCAGAGTAGGAGACATAGAACTATATTATGACTTCCTGGCTGGCTCTTGGGGACGCATATGAAGGGGCAAGAGAGGTTGTATAGCAAAGAAAGAATGGGAATTTCTGGAGCAGAACATTGTGGCTGTTTGAACAATGATGTGAACACCTCCTGCTCATATTCCCTAACAGTATGGGACAGGGCAAAGCAGGAAGTGTGGTAATTAAATGGTTAGAAGGAATTTGAGGAGGAGGTTAATTTGGGGACAGGGATGAAATAATTTTGTAAAGACCTCTTTGAATATACTGAATGTTTACAGCTTCCCCAGGGTTTCTCTTTTGATATCATGACAAGATAGTGTTTCAATGTCCAAGGTGAACTCTATAATCACTTTGGGGTTTCTTCTGTCATACACACCAAACTTTGGAAGCCATAACTTAGAGCTGATTGGCTTTCTCAAATACTTCACCATTAGCTGCCTTCCAGCTTAACTTTGAAAGGATCTGTAGCAATTTTCCACTCCATTCATTAGAATCAGAGCTAGAAGGAACTGCAGAGTGCATCTTATCTAACCCCAAACTAAATTAGAATCCCTTCTATGAAATCCCTGACAAGTAGTCATACAAGTTCCAAGATGCTCAGTGAAGAGGGAAGCCACTGCCTCCCAAGGCTTCCCATTACACTTGTAGATGGCTCTTATTGCTAGGAAGCTTCTTCTTATATTAAGCTATTGTTTGTTGGATTGGATTGGAATGGAACTGAAATCTGTATCTCTGTGACTGCTTTTCACTGTCCTGAGCTTTTTTCCCCTTTTGGAATCAAAAGCAAAACAAGTCTGATCCTTTGTCAACATGCCCTATGAACATTTGAAATCAGCCACTGTGTCCCTGCCAAGTCTTCTCTTATATGGGCCAAATATCCCCCTTTCATTCAATCAATCCTTGCATGGTTTTGGTTTCAAGTTTACTCACCATGCTGGACATTCTCCTCTGGATACACTTCAGCTTGTGAATATCCTTTTAAAAATATGCCCCAAACTGAACACAACAATCCACATGTAGTTTGACCAGAACAAGAATATAGCAGGACTATCACTTCCTTTGCACTGGACTCTAAGCCTTTGTTAATGCAACTTAGAATTGAATTTCTCATATTTATATCTTCTACTTTTGTGTAAGTACATGTAGTAGTATCCAAATGCAGAAATTTACATATGTTCCTTTTAAGTGTAATCATTAAATTTATTCATATTTAATCATATTAGATTTGATGGAACCTGTTTAGGTCTTTGGCGATCCAGAATCTTTCATCCAGAATGTTAGCATCACCTTCCAGCTTCATGTTCTCCGCAAATTTGATAAGTATTCCATAATAATTTGGTTCAAGTCATTCAAGTCCTATAATTGTCTACTTAAGATTGCCCTTTAAGATAACATGGATTTGTCTCTGGGTGGTATATTCAGCTTCTTTTGAATCAAGCCAATCATGCTATCTATCATCTGAAACACACCTCTCTATCTTGCAATTTTTCCAAATGTTTTGCTGGAATTTAGGTATTCCATGTCTATAACATTTCTCCCATCTACCAGTCAAGAAATCCTTAAAAAAAAACAGGGAGATGGTCAATGAAGTTGATCAGCCATGCCTTGTACCTTTTTTAAAATTATTTTTTCATTTAATAAGCATTTGCTTCCCCCCATCTCCTTTTATTACTCCTCCTTCCCCTGAAAAAAAGAAAACAAAACAACAATTATACATAGTCACGGAGGGCACATTCCTATACCATTCCTATACATTGGCCACATCCAAAAATGCATGTCTCACTCTGCATATCTAGTCCATCACCTCTTTATCAGGAAGTGGGCAGTGTTCTAAATCATCAGTCTTCTGAAATCACTGTGTTGATCAGAGTTCTTAGCTCTTTCAAAAGTATTTGCTTTTACAATGTTGTTGTTATAGTATAAATTATTCTCCTGGTTCTGCATCACTTCAAAGTGAGGTTCAGGTGCGACCTGCTCCCCCCCCTTTCCTCATTCATGTGATCCTACTTATATCCTCTGATCAGGTGAAATAATAAATTACGCCCCCCATTCTTTCCCTTTTCTCTCCTAACTTCTCCCGGCTCTTTCTCCATTATAAAAACAACAAAAATGACTCCTTATTTGACTTTCTCTATGACCCCTGCTGGCATCACAGTTCTTACGGCATGATTGTATCATCCTCCTCTCCACATTCAAATGAAAACACTACATCCTTATAAAATATTTTGCTCACTCGTAATTGTCTTTTTATCTTTCTCTTTCCTCTCATATTTGTATTTCATAGGTTTTACTTAGCTCCTATATTTTATCAGGAATTTTCTGCTGCATTAAAGATCTACTCTCCTCCATTATTCTTTTGGAATATCATAGTCTATGATTTCCTCTTCTTTAGAGTTGTAGCTGCTAAATCTTTTTTATGATCCTGACTATGGTTCTTCAATACTTACACTCTTTCTGACAGCTTGTAGCATTTTTCTCTTTGACTTCAAAGCTCTGGGTTTGTGTCATAATGTTCCTGGGCATGTTCATTTAGGAATTTTCTTCAGGAGTTTGGTTACCAGTGGGTTCTTTCTATTCACTACACTTTCTGGTTCTGAGAGGGCTGGGCAGTTTTCTTTTATGATTTCTTGAAATGTGATACTCAGACTCTTTTTTTTCGTCACAGATTTCAGCTATTCTAATGGATCTTAAATCGTCTCTCCTTGATCAGTTTTCCAGGTCAAATGTTTTTTATGTGAGATATCTCATATTTTCTTCAATTAAAAAAAATATTTGACTATGTTTTAATTTTTTTTTAATTTTCTCATCCAGTCATTCACTTCTGTTTGGTCCATTCTAATTTTCAGGGAGTCTATCACTTAAGTAAGGTTTTGTATATCTTGGGCCAAGGTGATAATTGTCTTTCTAAAAGCCTGGTCTCCACAGGTCTCATTTCTTTTCCAACTTTCTCCATTCTTTTCTCTCATTTCAATTAGAATAACTTTTAAATTTCAATTATAATACCTTTAAAAACTCATCTTTATCTCTTCATTTCTTCTAGGAATTCTGACTGTGGGGAATCTGTGTTTTGCTTTGAGGCTTTGCTTCTAGGTATTTTTCACTTATTCTCTTCTTTTGGGTTTATATCTTGTATCTTGATAAATGATAGCAATTTATCTTTTTTTCTGTTTAGTCATACTTCTAGTAATATGCTCTGAGCAACCTGGCATTGCTACCCTTGCTTTGGAGGTCTTTCAGGGATAAATCTTTAATCTTATCTTGTGTATGAGGCCCTGTTGTGCTACCTTCCTGGTCAAGGGACTGAGTTTATAATCTGTTATAGACAACCTCATGATGGGGGCTCTGGGTGTTGTGGGAGGAGGGTTCTGCTAGGAATTGACAGGGTTTGGGGTTCTGAGCCCATTCTCCTCAAACTGTGGGCCCAGGCTAGAGCTAAGTCTAAGGTCAGCTTTGGACACTTCTGCTATCCAATCCTAGAATGGAGTTCTAGATTGTGAATCTAGAGCTCCAGGCCCCTCTGGGAGACCCTTAGCTACTGGCCTAGGCTGTGGCTGAGCCTTTGATCAGCCCTGGACAGTTCTGCCCTGGAGACTTGGGTTAAAGCTCTGGACACTGAATCTGGTGAGCTCAAGCTGCTAGCTTGGGCCTGGGTCATCTTTGACATGGTCACTTGACTATAGTTTGGATATGTGATCTTGGGCTGGAAAAATGACCCAATGCTTTTTATCCTTTGATTTCTCATTAACTACCCAATCCAGCATTCTTCTCAGATCATTGCTGGAGTAGTTATGCTTGGGGAAGGGGGACTGATGTATTTCTTTCTCCTACTCTGCCTTCCTGGCTGGATCTCCCTGACATACCTGGTTCTTAAAGAACCTATGCTAGCTCCTAGTGATCACTGCTTTCCTTCCTACGTGCTCACAGACCATTCCTTTGATAACTTATCTTGGTTGTTCCTCTCAGCTTCTAACCAGCAATGATTTATAATCAATATTCAATATGTATTCGTGGGTTGCTAAAGGTACTACTCTTCTCCTAGGGCAAGGGTTCCTAGAATGGAGAATCATCCAGAGAGCCCCGAATAGAAAGCTTGGGGTTCAGTTGTACAGTGATGTCCCTTCAAGTGCCACATGGAATTTCAGAAAGCTAACCTGCTTCCCCATGCCCCTGAACTAGAAGAGTTGTTCTTTGCTTGTTGTATTAGTCATCAAAGATGCAAAGACTCCAGGTCTCCACTAGCATGTGATGAATTCTGCATCTCTGACTTCACTACCTGGACTTGGGGGTAGGAGCAGTATGGAGACAGAGGGCCCACAGATTCTAATCCTTTAAGAGATCTTCACAGGAACAATGGAGTCTGTTGCCCTGAGGAAATTTCTTGCTTTCTCTTTTTCGATGATTTTCTCATAAAATCATAGATTTAGGAAGGAACCTTAGAGGCCATTTACTTTAGTTGTCTTCTTTTACAGATGAAGAAACTAAGAACCAGAGAGGTTCAGTAACTTGCCTAAGGTTACATGAGTAGTAAGTGGTAGAGCCAGGATTTGAACCTTCTAAATCCAATTCCCACTGAATTTGGAGGGTCCCTTTACAGTACAGATCTAGAACTGAGCAGAAAGTTCTTCAAACCACAAAAGAAAAATATTTAACTCTCACAGCACAATGTTTTCTTGAGCCAACCCCTACAGAAGGCAAGTGAGCAGCCCAGCTAGATGCCATTCACCTGAGCTACAGGTTCCCAGAAATAACAAGTTTATCAGCAGGACTTGATGATAATGGGTGTGGATGATTATAGAGTTCAAGTGTGTGTATGTATGTCTATATAAGTGTATGTATATATGTGTAGGTGTGAATGTGAGTTTATAAATATGAGTGCATGTGCAAATAAGAATGTATGTGTTTATGAATGTGTCTATAAATGCATATTAGGGGGCAGCTAGGTGGCATACTGGATGAAGCACCGGGCCTAGAGTCAGGAAGACCTAAGTTCAAATCTAGCCTCATGGGCCAGCTAGATGGCCCAGTGGATAGAGCACCAGCCCTGGAGTTAGAAGGACTTGAGTTCCAATCTGGCCACAGTCATTTACTAGCTTGTGACCTTGAGCAAGTCACTTAACCCTGTCTGCCTCAGTTTCCTCATCTGTAAAATGAAGGAAATGGCAAACCACTCCAGTATCTTTGCCAAGAAAACCCCAAATGAGTCATGAAGAGTCAAACACGATTGAAACGACTGAACGGCAACATATGTAAGTCTGTATTGTGCAAGACTCTTGCTGTTTTGTGAGGTTAGGTATATGAGTATGTGTGAATGTAAGCATGAATGTATGATCATGTATGAGTGAATTTGTGTGTGTGTGCACCTGTGTAAGTGTGTCTGTGTTTTTTAGTGTATGAATATGTTGTTGTAGGGAGCAATAGAAGGGAGAAGCACAGAGAATCACTTTAGAATCTTTTCCTAGAGAGCAGGGATTAAAGGCTAACTAAGCTGATAGCCCTTGGGGCCCTGTGGGTCGGAATTCCTATCATAAAGTCATAAACACCAGAGGTCAGTGTAAGCGGCCAGCTGGAGCAGGGGGACCTGCTTGGAACACTCTCAGAAGAGAAATCCTCCATGTGTGCGTAGAGTCCTGGATTTTGGTGGCTCCAGAGGGCAAGCAGCTCATGTCAGTCTCCATACAGCAACACACCAAAGCCATGTTTTCAAAGACCTCTGAAGGAGGAGACGCTGTAATTCCCCAGGGCACTCTGTTGGCCCAGGAGGTCTGTCAGCCAAACTTGTGAGAAATTAGACTGAGCCAAATAAAGCATCAGACTGCAGCTAGGGAGAATGTTCAGGAAACAGTAATGCCAGAACCTGGGGTCCACCCCATGTGTAGATGCAAAGCTGGGGCTACCTCTGTGATAGGCTTTCAGGGAGCTCCAAGTAGGTTCCTAACTCCAAAATAACGTTGTTCCTGCTCAATATTCCCCCACTACAGCTTCACTCCTTTGGAGCCACTTGGTGTGGTGAAAAGGATACTGGATTTTGGAGTTGGGGAACCTGGCTTTCAGGCCTGGCTTTGCCCCATCCTCTCTGAATAACTTCAGTCAAGTCTCTGCCCTATTCTGAGTCTTTCTTCTCTCATGTGTAAAATGGTATCTGTCGGCATCAGAAGTTCTTAACTTGGGGCCAATGAACTTTTAAAAAATATGTTTTGATAACTGTATTTCAATAATTAGCTTTCTTTGTAATTCTCTCTATCTTATTTTATGGATTCTAACACATTATTCAGAGAAGGGGTCCTCAGGCTTCACCAGACACCAAAGGGCTTCATCACACCAAAAAAAGTCAATGCCCCCTCACCACAATGATCCATAAGCTCCTTTCTAGTTCTACTGTCGTAAGATCTAGATTTAGCCATCAGGTCCAGAATGAGTTCCAACCAAAGTAGCGATTAAGTCTTCTATTTACTTTATACCCCTCCCTCTGCCATAGTCCTCCAGTGTCACAGTGGGAACCCCGAGTCCTATGTAACTATGGGAGTAGAGCTAGAGAGCAAGCCCCGGCACGTCCTATCATGCATGGGAAAGCTGGGGCATAATACCAGCAATGGACTAAATGTCTATCATCTGATGACCAACTTAGCTTAGTGTAGAGAGGGGCAGTGCTAACCATTCACCACTAGCCTATTAATTTTTTGACC